CCCTCTGGCAGCTTGGGAGCCCTTGGGGGATGTACGATTGATGGCTTAGGCCTGCTCCCATCACCACCGCTGCACTCGCAGCCTTCAGCCTGGCTTGTGGCTGAGCAGAGCTCCCCCTGTGGGAGCACACTGATCACTAGGGGGCAGCTCCTGCATTGAGCATCTTCCCCATGGTGGTCAGTGCGCAGCATAGTGACCAGTCATTCTGCCGTTAGGGTCAATTTGCATATTACCCTTTTATTATATAGGATATTCCTCAATAAATTTGGAAGTTAAACATTCCTTTTCTATTTGTACAATGAATGTACAAAATGTTATGTAGTATATTCATCAAAGCTTAATATCAAATATCATTTTTATCTTTCTCCTGGACAATGAAAAAGTTTACTTTCAACCCTCTTTACTTATATGGTACTAGAGGCCCGGTGCACAAAATTCATGCGGGGGGGTCCCTCAACTCAGCCTGCACCCTCTCACAATCTGGTAGCCCTTGGGGGATGTCCAACTGCAGGATCAGGCCTAAAACAGCAGTTAGACATCCATCTCGCAATCCAGGACTGCTGGCTCCTAACCGCCTCATCACCCCTAACCACTCTGCCTGCCTGCCTGATCACCCCTAACCCCTCTGCCTAACTGCCTGATAGCCCCTAACCACCTCTGCCTCAGCCCCTGCTGTCAGGAAGGACTTCCGGAATAACGTCTGGAAGATCATTCAGCTGTTCAGAATATACTTGGGTATATAAACACACCTATAATTAGCATATTACACTTTTATTATTATAGATTGTTTTGTGCATTTTAGTTCTATAAACATTCTGAGCTGCAGAAGACATTGTTATTGTTATTTGATACAGTCAATATTTATTTATATTTAACCACACACTTACCATTTTAATTGCTTTTAATTGCTTCTCCAACCTTTCCATCTGTGGCATTTCCTTTGTTTTATGAAGACCTGTTAGTGTTTCCTTAAGTGAGTCTGTTTTTGTCATGTTCCCTTAGTTTTTGCTTGTCCGATAATGTCTTTATTTCACTTCAATTATTGAGGTATAAATTTGCTGAGTATATGATTCTAACAGCATTCACTTTTTTTTAACCAACACATTAACACTATAGTTTCAAACTCTTCTAGCTTTCATTATTGTTGAGAAGCCATTCACCCATCTTATTGTTGCTCTATTCAAGTTGATCTTTCTTTATATTTTTTTTCTTTAAGGTTAATACTATTTTTTTTCTTTTCTCCTGCAATGTCATTGTGATGAGTCTAAATGTTGATTACTTTTTATTTATTCTGCTTGAGACCTGTTGAGCTCTTTAAGTGTGAGAATCAGTGTCTTTCACCAATTCTAAATGCCATTATTCAAATTGTTTTTCTGCCATTCTTTTCTCACCTTGTGGAACTCTACTCACTTTATATTATACTAGAGGCCTGGGGCACAAAATTCATGCACTTGGGGGGATGGTCCCTCAGCCCGGATTGCGAGAGGGCGCAGGCTAGGCCAAGGGACCCTACCAGTGCACAATCAGGGCTGGGGAGGGACACAGGAGGTTGACCAGCTAGGGAGGGGCAATGGGAGGGCTCCAGGGCATGTCTGGCCCATCTCACTCAGTCCTGATTGGCCAGACCCCAGCAGCAAGCTAACCTACTGGTTGTAGCATCTGCCCCTTGGTGGTCAGTGGACATGCTAGCGAGCGGTTGAGCAGCCTTAGCATATCATTAGCATATTATGCTTTGATTGGTTGAATGGAGGACTAGACAACCGGACACTTAGCATATTAAGCTTTTATTATACAAGATGTTTATTATCTTCTTATTCTCACTTCTCTCTTTTATGTTCTTCTATTTTTTCGTCATTCATCACAGTTTCTTCTAACCAACCTCCAGTAATGCTCTCTTTAGATATATCTAATTTGCCTTTGAGTTCTTTGGTTTTCATGTTATGCTTTATTTCCAGATTTTCTAGTTGTTTTTCAAATCTTAAATGTCACTCTTTTTAGAGTGCATTTTTTTGCTGAAATGTTTAATTTCAGCTTTCAATTTTTGTGTGCATATTATAAATAGTGTTTAAAGTCTATTTCAGGTAATTAAAGTATCTTGAATGTCTCTGGGTTCATTTTTATTATCTTTAAGTGTGGTATATCTGGTTCATGTTGTCTTGTTTCTTCATCTGTCTACTTATTGTTTATTTCAGTTATTGGAACTGAAAAATTATTGAAATAAATACTTTGAAGCCTAAGATGATTTTTTTTCACCTATACTAAAAATTTGGAAACAAGAAGAACATGAAATCACTGTAATCCAATTTCCAGATTACGATTTTTCTTGGTTATATAGGTGACTTGAATCAGGTCTAAATATTATGACAAGGGTGGTTTAATCCTGGACTATCCTTATTTCTAGTGTATAGACATTTGGGATATAAAAAATAAGATCAAGTTGGTTGACCCTTGCCAGGCTCTATATTCCTATTATAATTTCCTCTGTTCATGAGATTGTGAAACAAGCTTCCTAACCTGTCAGTCACAGCTTCAGATTCACAAATGCATCACTGGAAAAATGACCCAAAAGTTATAATCATTTTTCTGTCTTCTTCTGGATCCCACACTCTTATTAGCTTCACATGCTTATAGTATTTTTTCCCATATTTTAGTTGTTTTTAGCATAATCATTTTTAGAAGCTAAAGCCCCTAATATTCTAATGTTTTGTAGTTGATACAACATGTTTTTTAAAATTTATTTTTACTTTTGTAAAAATTTTAAATCAATTTTTATTTTTTCAATTGCAATTGGCATACATTATTATATTAGTTTCAGGTGTACACCTCAGTGAGTAGACATTATATAACTTAGTGAGTGATCATCCTATAAATCTTGCACTCATCTGACACCATACATAGTTATTAAAATATCATTGACTATATTCCCTATGCTGCTCTTTACATCCCCATGACTATTCTGTAATTACCAATTTATACTTCTTAATCTCTTCACCTTTTTCACTTATCCCCCCAAACACCTCTCATCTGGCAATCGTCAAAATGTTCTCTGTATCTATGTATCTTTCTGTTCTGCTTGCTTATTTTTCTAGATAAAATTATTGATATATATATATATTTATTGCATTTTTATTGTTCATATTTTTGACATATTTTTTCTTCCTTTCTTTTTAAAAAGGAGCCTTTAGCATTTCATATGATACTGGTTTGGTGGTGATGAACTCCTTTAGCTTTTTCTTGTCTGGGAAGCTCTTTATCGGTCCTTTGATTCTAAGTGATAGCTTTGATAGGTAGAGTAATTTGGTTGTAGGGCCTTGCTTTTCATCACTTTGAATATTTCTTGCCAATCCCTTCTGGCCTGCAAAATTTCTGCTGAAAAATCAGCTAACAGTCTTATAGGAACTCCTTTCTAGGTAACTAAATAAGGAGTCACTGGGACAACTTCTAACATACCAACATTCACATCATGGGAGTGCCACAGAAGGAAAAGATAGAGCAAGAAATTGAAAATCTATTTGAAAAAATAATGACAGAGAATTTCCCTAACATGGTGAAGGAAATAGACATACAAGTCCAGGAAGCACAGAAAATCCAAAACAAGATGAACCCAAAGAAGCCCACACCAAGATACATCATAATTAAAACGCAAAACGTTAAGGACAAAGAAAGAATCTTAAAAGGAGCAAGAGAAAAGCAGTTAGTTACCTAATATTCTAATTTACAGAGAGAAAGGGAGAGGAATAGAGAGTTAGAAACATCGATGAGAGAGAAACATTGATCAACTGCCTCCTGCACACTCCCTACTGGGTATGTGCCTGCAACCAAGGTACATGCCCTTGACCGGAATCGAACCTGGGACCCTTGAGTCTGCAGACCAACTTTCTATCCATTGAGCCAAACCGGTTAAGGCAAGAAATGGCATCTTTTTAGCTGAGTTCTTTAGGGTAAAGGAGGTAAAATCTGTGAAACCTTGAATATGTAGATCAAACTATGTATATAGATTCACATTTTTGTGGTATAAGTAAGTTCTACTTTTTTTTGTCCAAAAGTGTGTGTGCGCGTGTGTGTGTGTGTGTGTGTGTATGTGTGTTCACCTAGAATGGAATAATCTTAAATGTTAAATAAATTTATGTTATGGATAAACCCAGAGTCAAAATCTTTAGATGATATCAGGGAAGATTGCATAGTGGTCTTGATCTTGTAAACATTACCAGAATCTGTTATAGAAACATAACTTTAAAAAATTATTTAATGAGACACTAAATGTAATTTCCAACAGAAAGAGAAGAAAAAGAAAACAAGAGGATTGTAAATGCCCCTATATTCCAATTGGTTAAATTCTGTGTCTTGAATACTAGCATTCTTAAGGCATTCATGAATATCACAAATTACAAGCAATAAGATGATAATTTCTCTTCTTCAACCTTCCCCAAATCTTTAAAAAAAAATAAAGAATTTTTTCTCTTTCTGTGTAATAAAATTCCAAGAAGACATTTGAAAATGGAGGACAAATATATTTTACATTGATCAACAGCCTAAATTAATTCATGTTTACTTCATGAAGATTCTTATGCACTATTAATATTTCCACTGAAGAAGATATGAAAATAGAATTAAAATATTAAGATTAATATTCTGGGATAAATTTATATTTTATAACATTTAAATGCTATATTTTTAAAATTTAGATTTGTCACATATCTTTGTCATCTTTAAATCGCTTTAAACATCTCAAAATTTTGACTCTGTGTTGTAGAATCATTGGCATATTAATGCATAAAATAATTTAGCAGAATAAATGGAAAAATTTAATATTCATACACATTACATTTATTCTATTATTGTTAACCTAAATATCAGATAAATAGGTTAAGAATAATTATTAAACAACAATCCCGATTATACGCAATGTTACCGGTCGACGTCTGTCGTTGTTCACAGTACATAATCCGAAGGTATTGAGCATAGCCCTTGCAATTCTAATGGCCAGGAAAGTCATTTACCTATAGAAATTGCCCAAACGATAGCAATCTTCATGATGGCCTTAGTCCGCGAATTGAAACGGCTATGCTCAATAGGATTACGTATTGCTACATACCGATCCAGCGATATAGCGCAGAGGTGCATGATGGACGCTGTCGAAAATAAAACATCCAGGGAGATCCAGACGGGGCACAAAGGTCTGGGGAGTGGCCAGACATAATCTGAAAGAGAACAGAGAGAAGACAAGAACATATTATACAAATTATACTAACTGTAATATTAAATTTTAGTCTACTTATTTTCTCTCATAATCTAAGCATTTCAAAGAAAGTGAAATTTGGGAAACATTTTCCATAGTAATGGTGGTAGTGAAGATGATGATGATAATACCTTAAGTGTTACATATATTATTTTTATTGAGGTAAAATTTACATAAAACCAATAAATTTGTACAATTCAATAGTATTTAGTACATTTATAATATTATGCAAGTATCACCTCTTTCTAGTTCCAAAACATTTCATTATTCCCGGCGGAAACCACTACCCATTAAGCAGTCACTCCCTATTCCACCTTCCCCCATCCTCTGACAATCTCTAATCTGCTTTTTTGTCTCTATGGATTTAGCTAATTTGAACATTTCATATAAATTAAATAATAAAATAGGTGACCTTTTGTGTCTGGCTTATTTCACTTAGTATACTCTTTTGAGGGTCATTCATTTTGTAGCATGTACCAGTACTTCATTCCTTTTTATAGCTAATGCTCTTATTTGAGATAATTTTTGATGGTCTTGTAAATGCAATTGTTTTCTTAATTAACTTATTAGTGTATCTATATATATAAAAGCCTATGATGTGCACTGACCACCTGGGGGCAGACACTCAACACAGGAGCAGAAACCACAGGCATGGAAACATGGAACAGACTGATGAATCTCAGAGGAAAGGGAGAAGGGGGGAGGGGGGAGGGTGGGAAGAGAGTAACCAAAGATCTTATATGCATGGATTGGTGCATCAGTGGGGTCCCTGGGCCTTGCCTGTGCCCTCTTGCAATCTGGGACTCTTTGGGAGATATTGGACTGCCAGTTCCAGCCTGATCCCTGCAGTCCAGGCCGAGGGACCCACTGCTGCCTCTAGTAGAACTATAACTTACTAGAGTCCCAGTGCACAAAATTCATGCACTCAGGGGGGATTCCCTTGGGGGTGGGGTCCCTCAGCCCAGCCTGTGCCCTCTCACAGTCCAGGAGCCCTTGGGGGATGCCCGACTAAGTCGTCAGTTGGACATCCTTAGCGTTGCTGTGGAGGTGGGAGAGGATCCCGCCAGGGCCGCTGTGCTTGCCAGCCCTGAATCAGGCTTCTAGCTGAGTGGTGCTCCCCCTGTAGGAGTGCATTGACCACCAGGGGTCTGCTCTTGTGTTGAGCGTCTGCCCCCTGGTGGTCAGTGCATGTCACAGTGGCCGGTCATTCCACAGTTCGGTTGATTTGCATATTAGCCTTTTATTATATAGGATTAGTGTATAGAGCTATAACTGATTTTCACATGTTAATCTTGTATTCTGCAACTTTGCTGAATTCATTTATTAGATCTACATTTTTGTGCAAGAGTTCTATAGGATTTTCCCTATATAAGATCATGTCATCTTTGAATAGAGATAACTTTTTTTCCAATTTTCCCTGCCTTTATTTTCTTGCTTGCTTAATTGCTCCAGATAGAATTTCCAGTACAATGTTGAATGGGAGTAGAAAAAAAAGCAGGCATCCTCTCTTTTCCATTTTTAAATTTATTATTATTATTTTTACTTGGAGATCATTTATTTTCTTTGTAAGGTACCTATTATTTATTTATTTACTTTTAAATTTATCTTTATCATTGAAAGTGTTACAGATTTCCCTTTTTTTCCCATTGACCCCTTCCACTTAAAACAAATTATTGATTGATTTTAGAGAAACAGAGAGGAAGGGAGAGAGAGAGAGAGAGAGAGAGAGAGAGAGAGAGAGAAACTTATTGAGAAACTTATTGTTCTATCTATTTATGCATTCATTGGTTGCTTTCTGTATGTGTCCTGGCCAGGGATTGAACCTGTAACCTTGGTGTATCAGGATGATGCTTCAACCAACTGAGCTACCTGGCCAGAATCCTCTCTTTTTCTTGATCTCAAATGGAAATCTTTCATTCCTTTATGATTGAGTAATATGTTAGCTATGGGTTTTTCATCAATCCCCTTTATTATGGTGAGAAAGTTTCCTTTGTATTATTAGGTTGTTGAATACTTTTAGCATGAAAGAGTGATATATTTTGTTAAATGCTTTTTCTGCATCAATTGAGATTATTGTGTTTTTTTTTAATCTTTATTTTATTACTGTGATGCATTATGTTGATTTATTTTTTTAAATATATTTTATTGATTTTTTACAGAGAGGAAGGGTGAGGGATAGAGAGTTAGAAACATCGATGAGAGTGAAACATCGATCAGCTGCCTCCTGCATACCCCCTATTGGGGATGTGCCCGCAACCAAGGTACATGCCCTTGACCAGAATCAAACCCAGGACCCTTGAGTCCGCAGGCTGACGCTCTATCCACTGAGCCAAACCGGTTAGGGCTATGTGGATTTATTTTTGTATGTCAAACCATTCTTGCATTCCTGAGATAAATCACCTGGTCATGGTGTATATTATGATACTGGATTTAGTTGGCTAGTATTTTGTTTAAGATTTTTGCATCTATATTCATAAGTGATATTTGTTCATACTTGTCATTTTTTGGGATGTCATTATCTGGCTTTAGTTTCTGGATAATCCTGGTCTCACAAAATGAATTACAAAGTGTTGCCTTATCTTCTATTTTGTAGAAATTAGAGAAAAAATGGTGTTAATTATTCTTTAAAATGTTTGGTAGAATTTGCCAGTGAAGCCCTAATTTCTGGGCTTTCTTTGTTGGAAGGTTTCAATATCTTTATTATCAGTCTCATCAGATTCTCTATTTCTTCTTGAGTCACTTTTCATAGTTTATGTGTTTCTAAGATTTGTTGATTTTGTTCATGTTATCTGATTTATTGGAATACAATTATTCACTGTATTCTTTTTATATATATATTTTTAACTTCTCTAGGGTTAGTAATAATGCCCCCTATTTCATCTATAATTTAATGATTTTTGTCTTCTCTTTTTTTTCTTAGTCACTCTAGTTAAAGATTTATGAAGTTTGTTGACTTTTCAAATAAACAACTTTTGGTCTTAATTATATTTTTATTTTTTCTATTCTCTATTTTCTCTCTCTCCATTTTAATATTTAGCATTTCCTTTCTTTTGCTAGTTTGAGTTGTTTGTTCTTCTTTTCTAGTTTCTTGAAATCTAAATTTAGGCTACTTTCCTCTGAGCACTGTTTTTGCTACATTCTGTAAATTTTGGTATTAAGTTTTTATTTTGCTCTTCTCAAAATATTTTTTTGATTTCATTTGTAATTTCTAAGTTGTTCCATTGATTGTTTAATAGTGTGGTGTTTAATTTTCACATACTTATGAATTTGTCAGTCTTCTTTATTGATTTCTACTTTAATTCCATTGTGGAGAAGAAACTTTGAAGAATAATAATATTTTAAATTTTTAATGTTTTTTTTTGAGGCCTGATATATGGTCTATTCCAGAGAATGTTGCATGTGCACTTGAGAAAAATGAATTGTCTGCAGTTGTAGAATGGGGTGTTTTATATTTGTCTGTTAGAATTAGTTGCTTTACAGTATTGTTCAAGTCCTCTATTTCATTATTGATCCTCTGTCTAGTTGTTCTTTCCATTATTGAAAATAGGCTATTGTCTCCAAGTATTATTATAGATCTTTTTTTTATCCCTTCAGTTTTGCTTCCTATAGTTTTTGGTCTCTGTTTTTAGGTGTATATATATTTATAATTGTTATATCTTCTTGATGGTTTCAGCCTTTTATCAATATACTAGAGGCCTGGTGCACAAAATTTGTGCACTGGGGAGGGGGGTCCCCCAGCCAGGCCTGTGCCTTCTTGCAGTCTGGGACCCCTCGGGGATTGACCACCTGCTGGCTTAGGCCCACTCCCTGGGGGATTGGACCTAAGCTGGCAGTCAGACATCCCTCTGGCAGCCCAGAAGCCCTCGGGGGATGTCCACTTGCCAGCGGGGAGCAGGCCTAAGCTGCAGTCGGACATCCTTAGCGCTGCTGAAGAGACGGAAGAGGCTCCCACCACCACCACTGTACTGGCAGCTGTTAGCCTGGCTTGTGGCTGAGCAGAGCTCCCCCTGTGGGAGCGTACAGACCACCATGGGGCAGCTCCTGCATTGAGCATCTTCCCCCTGGTGGTCAGTGTGTGTCATGGTGACCAGTCATTCCCAGTCATTCTGCTGTTAGGGTCAATTTGCATATTACCCCTTTATTTTATAGGATAGAGGCCTGGTGCATGGGTGTTCTAGATCAGGGTGGGGGTCCCACTGGGGCAGCTGATGGCTGTTTTCAGGCTGGCCAAGTCCCCCAGTGGGGACCCTCACCCCATGTGGGTGTAGCCAGCCTGAGTGAGGGGCTGAGGGCTGTTTTCAGACTGGCCACACCCCCTTCAGGGTGGGGGTCCCCACTGGGGTGCCTGGCCAGCCTGGGTGAGGGGCTGAGGGCCGTTTTCAGGCTGCCCACAGCCCCTTCAGGGTGGGAGGGTCCCACTGGGGTGCCTGGCCAGCCTGCAAACAACCATCAGCCCCTCACCCAAGCTCCCAGCGTCTCCTTTTTCTCTTTTTTTTTCAGTGCCTCCTTGAACGGAGGCCAGAGCGGGCTGGAAGCAGGTGTCTGGGATTTATTTATCTTCTATAATTGAAACTTTGTAGCCTTGAGCAGAGCCCAGGGCCGGCCAGGGGAGGTGGGAAGCTTGGCTTCCTCCATCACCAAGAAAAACCCAAGCCTCCTGCTCGCTCCAGCTTTCGTGGCTGCCGCCATATTAGTTGGGTTGATTTGCATACTCGCTCCTGATTGGCTTGTGGGCTTGGCTTGTGGGTGTAGTGGAGTGATGGTTAATTTGCATGTTTCTCTTTTATTAGTGTAGATATTACTGTCTATATTAAGTATACTGTCCATTAAATCTCAATTTCTCCTTTTTTTTGCTTTGTTTGTTAAGCACTTTAAATATATCATCCTACTGCCTTCTGACCTGAGTGGTTTCTAAATAGAAAAATCATTATTAATCTTGTTAAAGAGCCCTTGCAATTTTGA